CATCAATCAATTCATCCATCCATCCATCCATCCATCCATCCATCCATCCATCCATCCATCCATCCATCCATCCATCCATCCATCCATCCATCAGATCTCTGGTTTGTTTCAAGTCTTTTTATTCAGAAGCTTTACATTCTGATATCAAAGGATTGTAGTCTTATGATTATTATTTATTATAAATTCAAAATGCAAATCTGTGTCAGGGAGATACTGCTCTGTATCATGTCAACCTGTTGCACCAAGTTAAAAATGAAACAAACACAACATCTTTATTTTTAGAGCTTTTGTCAGAGCTGGTCTTTTCCAGCAGTCCTTCAGCCTGGGAGACTGCAGAAAGAGATGAAAGACAGCAAAGTCTTTCATCTCAGACTCCAAAAGCAAACGTAACCCATTTGTACATAGCACAAATAGTTTTGGTATACTATTATGTCATTCTTCATGCAATCAGTGAATCATCAGCTAAAATCGGCCAAGCAGGAAATCAAAGAAAGACCGATCTCCCAGAGGAGGTTAAAGACAAAAGCATAAAATGTTACTACAGGCATATAAAGCCAAATGGTGAAAATTAAAGGCCAAGCTCACTTAACAGAAATGCTTATGGGAATTAAATATTATTGTTTTAATAGCAGTAGGTGCAGCTAACACTGCACTTCTGTGAAAATTAGATAGTTCATCATCAAGAATCTGTCAACACAATAATCATGCAGGAGCTAACTCCCTGGGAACCTATTGCTTCGACATCTTCAGCCATCTCAGCATGCAAACAAATTAATTCTGTGTTTTATAATAGTTTTAGAGAAATTATATAGTATCAAGTTTCCAAAGCCCAAAATATAAAGTATTATATATAAACTGAATTATAAAACATTATATAAAAAACATGCATCTTCAACTCAGACCGGTTTTAAATTGTAGAAGGCTACGATAAGTGCTTTGCAAAAGTTAAATGTTCCATCTTAAAGGAGTTAGACTAAGACAAGGGATCTTCTTCAGCTAAAAAACTCAGCTTTGTTTTTTTTATATAGTTTATTGAAAACCTTCTTATCCACACTGCAAAAAACATCTATAAATAAGTAAAAAATGTCTTAAATTAAGTGTATTTATCCTTAATTTGAGCAGGTAAATAAGATGATCTGCCAATGGAATGAGTATTTTTGCTCCTAAAATAAGATGATTAGATAATATACACTTGAAATAAGACAAAGCAATTGTTTTTTTCTTATTTTAAATGTAAATTGTCTTGTTCCATTGGCAAAGCGTCTCACTTACCTCCTCAATTCAAGAAAAAATGCACTTAATTTGAGCAAAAATTACTTATTTAGATTTACATTTTTTGCAGTGCAGATATTAAAAATAGACCCCTCTCTCTTACTCTTATTGCTCAGACTGCAATGCTTCTTTCTTTATTTTATTTTTTTTTAATGTAGGATTATTTGCCCTTATTTCAATGATGGATTTTAAAGTTAAGAGTGTGAAATGACACAAAGAGAAAGAACAAAAATTATAAACTTTAAGCCATAAAAATGATTGATAAAGCTACCATGATCTGCAGAGCCATCAGTGATTTATATCTGTTTAAGTCTGTCATAAAAAGATCCTCAAAAATTTCTATTATTGTAATACCATGGTGTGGGTTGTCTAGTTTGTTTATTTCTCTAAATGTATTTTCCATAAAGTCATCTTCTGAGCTTCTGCAATAGATATATCTGAGCTCCCACTGATACAGCATGTTCCTGTCCTCCCACTGATGCAGGCCACCAGTAAAGCACACTGTAAATTAACGAGTGCCCCCTCAAAGCAGCTCAGAATTATAATAAATGTCCTCCCACAGATAATCCCTTCCATATAGACACCCACATTTCACATATAGAAGAAAAAAGTTGTCTCCCGTCATCCAACAGTAGATGCAAACAGTCGGATAATACTACATGTATTTTCAAGTACCATCAGACCCTCAGATGACATACTCTAACAGTGATGAAAGACATGCCCAGCCTGCAGTTCTCTGCGCCTTCCTCTAATGATTAAAAAGAGGTCAAGGGCAAATTTCTACAAGTTCAGACAGAAAAATAAGATTCATAAAGACTGACAGGCTCAGGCTGCAGAGAAAAGCTCACAGAAAAGAGATTGCTCCAAAATCCAACACAGGGACAGATATGTGAAAGTGATGATATAATATTCTGGAGGGATAAAATACAATATTTTATCTTTAATGCTGGAACAAATTATTTTTATACACCTTTGATTTCAAAAGAAATTTTAAAAAGAAAAATTGAAGTATGATGAAAATATACTTAGATGGGGACTTTTTACAGAACAACAATCATTATCTCACACTCAGGATAAGTCACAGTTCAGAAAACTAGAGAGGGGGAAGTGGGGAAAGGTTGAGCAGTACTTCAGTTTAAGTGGGCTGGATTCACAGCTGCAGTATTGGCCTCTACCCCAGTGATAGGAATGGGGAGAGAAAAGGGGAAGGTGGGGTGCTGGCAAGTAAGAAAGGGTGAATTGCAAGTGCTGATGATCCTTATAAATACCATCTCATCAACCAAGATTCCCTTATTCAGCAGCATTTGCTCACTAACTCTAATCTGGTCCATGGAGCTCAGGTTCTCTTTTATGGAGGCCTCCTGTCTGTTGTTTCATTAGAAGTGTTTGCTGAGCTGTGTGATCTAGGACAGCGCTTGAGAGAGGCGATTAATAACCCTGAGCATGTAGGAATCATCTTCCTGGCCAACTTTAAAAACTGTGCCACTTCTTTAACAGGAAGGGGAGGTGGAGCAGCAGTAACAATAAGGACAGTCAGGTTGTATCTTTTGTTTGCTTTGTGCATTTCATCTCTGAAATCTAAAAAATTCTTTGGTTTAATCATTCCAACAAGCAGTCTTCAGAAAACTAGTCAGTAAACAGGTGTATTTGTTGGTAAGATTGATGAAAAGATGTCTAAACTGTAAAAAAGGATTTTAAATCTTCGTTTTTGTGAGGAAAACAATAGCTATGAGTGTCCTTTAATGGGAACCAGTCCTAAAACAGTAACGGGATGGAATAAAAGACAGAATTTAATGCAAAATATCATCCCTTTAGAATAGCTCTAAACTAACATTTAAATGCCCAGAGCCTTGGAAAATTTGTTGCACATTTCAGTGTATTTTACTGAGATTCTATGAGATAAAGCAGCAAAAAGTAGAGTATAATAATGAAGAGGATGGAAGATTGTACATTTTTTGCGTCACTTATATTCAAAGCTAAACAATTCAACTAGAGATCCACGGGCTACAGCATAAAACCTTTGGGTGTATGTCTCTATCTGCTTTGCTGATTATTGTTGTTTGCAATATTCCTCAAGTTTAGTCCGATTTAAAGTAGAGCGAAGGTCTACGTCAGCTGTTGCGTCTTTAAATTGATTTCCGGTTGGATTAAAGTCTGGATTTTGTCTGTTTCTTGTTGTTTTGATCGAAAGTCATAAATTATAGCTCTGACTGTATGTTGAAGGTCACTGTGTAGCAACTCCACCCCAGTCTCAAGTGTTTTACCTCTGACAGGTATATTTAGCTCCATTTGACCAGCTTCAATGTTTCTGCTGAGAAAGATATCCCCCACTGAATTATATATTCCGCCACCACTATGCAATACCATGCTGGGCTATTTTCTTTTCATACATAGCATTTTGCTAAACCTTCAAATTTGTTCTCATTGGACCAAAGCACAATCTTTCCCATCCAAACAACAAACGTGTGGTTTCTTTTGACAATCTTTTAGGATTTTGCTCTCTTGAAGGCGAGACTTGTGAAGACTAAAGTTGTCTTATCAAAACTTCCTCTTATAGTACCTGAGCTGTGGATCTCCTTATGATTTGACCAGCCTGTCAGCTGAGGTAGTAGCCTTGTGTTGTGCCATACCTTTTACATTCTCAGATGAGGAGCTGAGCAACTCTCTATGCTCGAAACCTTTGGATTTGGGATTATAAACTGTCCTTTTTTCTAACTGTCTCCCTGTTTTGTCTGCCATTCCTCTTATGTTGAATGATCGTGTTGACATGGGTCAAATATTTTTACTAATTAGGAAATTTCAGCTACTGGTTGCACTGGGTTTTGTTTAGGATACAATAACAAATCTGAAAAATCTGTAGGCAGTGAGTCACACAAATAATAAAGTCTGAAACTATAATAAATCATTATTTTCCAAAGCAATTTATATACTGAAGTCATGCCTCTCGAAATTCAATTCTATTAAACAATATTTTAATAATCCCAAAGGGACATAAAAAAAAGTAAAAAATGGCAAATACTCAAAAATTGACAGAAAATTATATTTGACCCCCACCTTTGTAAAAGACAGTTGTCCTGGGAGTGACTTCCAGGTCCAGCGACGGGCTGAAGGGAAATGCCCACAGCTGAACCAGCCTGTTGAGGAGCATCAGGAACAGCAGCAGCTTCAGGAGGGGCTGAATTGATTTCTGGTCCGCCATGCTCAACGAACTGACCCCGGTCCAGTTCAGTTAATTTCTTTTAGATAAGAAAATGCAAGAGTTTGCAAATTGTGTATCTTTTTTTACTTCAGACACAAACTCTGGTTATCCTCCAGTCAGTCCATCTGTAAAGGGAAAGAAAAGACTTAATGAATATATTCAAATTCTGTATTCATCTAGCATATTTAATTTGTTTTATTGTGGTATTTAGGACATAAATTATTAGCTGCATTTAACTTTTGATTTTTAAATGCATGACTTAATTGTATAATTTTAAGATTGTAGTGCATTTAGGGGTATATAAAGTTCGGCCAATTTTTATTCCAAAAGAATTTACATAAAGACAAACAAATGAACAGCTTTTTGTTTGTTTTTTGTTGCAGCTTTTATTTGTAGTTTAGTAAAAGTGTATTTTTAATTTGCAATATGTATGTTTTATGTTCGGTTTCACTTTATGCACAAACACTTTAAACACAATTTTTGTTGTTGTTTTAATAAATAATTTAACCTTAGATATCTAAGCAGTTTTTGATTGAAACATCCTAACTGAAGGCTGAGTAAACACACATCACATTAAACCTCTTTTGGAAATGGATTAATGGGTAAACAGAGGCTTCTAAACTGTGTTGAAAATGAATGGCACCAATAAAATAGATAATACTACAAAGAGTGGTAAACCTCCAAAACACAATTATGTCTTCTCTGAAAAAAGGAAAATAAAATGTGTTGAAATTTTAGTTGAGGGGTATTTCTATTTATTTTTGGAGCACAAGCCAGATGATTTAATCAAAAAAAAATTTTTACAAAATTAGTAACCTCAGTTCTTCTCTTTAATAAATGATGCTTGATGTATAATTGTTCAACAAGGAAATTAATAAAACATCTACATAAATCTGACATTATGTATGTATTTAATCAGTTTGATCAGTTCTTTTTTTCCTTGTATATGTAATGAAATGTTGAAAATGCAGTGCTGTAAACATAAGGCGAATAACATTGAAGTAATCTAAAATTTAAAATCAAAATATTTGGGTATATTGTTTCTTTGGGCAAAACATGAGTAAAAATACAGAAAAGAGCTGAGAAAGGAAGATGCACCATCCCTTCTCTATTCACAGTCTATACCTAATAGTCTATGATAATCACCTTGTTAGCGCTAAAATATAATCAACTCTGCTAAATTGTGTTATTTTCTCTATTTTTGTTAAGATTAAATATAAAAAATAAGGACCAAATGGTCACTTTTTCGCAGACTGGTTGTAGCAAAATCATCAAAGATTCACAAATAAATTGGTTCTGTGCAAAATGAAAAGTTGCTTCTCAACACAATGGGAACATTCCTCTGAAAATGATCAGATGCTGAATAAAAAAGTAAAGAAAAGCGAAAAAGAAAAGGAAAAAGTAGCATAACCTTAAAAAAAACTACAGAACAAGTGATCAAAACCACTTTCAAAAGGATAGAAAAAGCCTGACAGCATAAAAATAAAAAATAGAATTAGATTTGACCAAAACCTTTGGACTGAGCCGTCAGTTGAAAAGCAACACAAGTAGGCAGAAAGAAGCTTTGAAAATAAAGCTATAACTATGCTGCAAATGCAGAGATAACAGAGTTTTAAACCTACAGAATGAACTCTATAAAAAATGCCGTCATAAACATTCTTATAAACAAGTTTCATAGCCAAAACTACAGAGGGCCACACAGCCAGCTTTGTCTCTATGTAAGTCTAGATAAGCATCAGAGCTTTTCGGGTTGTTCCAGATTTCCATCCTTGGTCTCAACAAAGTACAAAAAATATTTTGTTTATTGTAACATTAGGCCATTTTTTTCATATCATTCTTCTAGTTAAAGATATATTTTGTAAATTTTTACTGAAAAATATCTTCATGATAGCCTTTTCATTTGACCCTATATGACTAAAACATTGTTTGAGGATCAGACCAACAGTAGTTCAGTGCCGATGCATCAATAAGCCTGTAGCATATTCTCCTGAACGTACACATCTGCTTCGTTTCTGCAAATGTGACCTAAGCATCACCATGTTAAATATCTAGAAAACAGTCGAAGCGTTATATTCAAGATGGATTTTGTGAATAATTAGTGGCAACTGTTATCCAGCTGAGGGCTGCACAGTTGCGCAGTGGGTAGCAATGCTGCTTTGCAGCAAGTTTGCATGTTCTACCTATGCATGAGTGGGTTCTCTCTGGGTACTCCGTCTTCTTCAAAAGTTCAAAAACATGA